GAGCCGAAGGCAGACGCTTAACAACTGAGCCACCCAGGCGCCCCTAAAATGGTTCTTGACAAAAAGAGGCCCTCTATTCAAGCTGCCATTCAGATCTCTAACTCAAGCCCCGCTATCTTACGGGAGAAAGGGATGCCACATTTGCAAGGTGCTTGTTGCTCTATGGTAAGAAATAATCCTACAGGGAAGCCTGCTTCTCCCTCTCCCGCTCCCCCTGCTTGTGTTCCCTCTCTCGCTGTGTCTCTCTCTGTCAAATAGATAGATAAATTCTTTAAAAAAAATAAATAAATAATAATAATCCTATAAGACCACCTACCCGGGGACTTATGGATGGGCAGCGAAACTTTTTCCCAGGTGGAGAGGGAAAAGAGGTAGCTGAACGCTGGCACACACCCAGGGAGCTCTGGCCTAACGATGTCCCTGCTTCCATCCAGGGTAGGGCCACTGCACAGGACCAAGCAATAGCTTAAGAATTTGAATTTACAGTAACACACAGGCTCACATAATGGGAAGAGCCCGCAATAGTTCATAGCTATACAACCTAGGAAAGCCCCCTTTGCCACCTCTGTAAAGTGGGGGTACCCACAGTCAACCCCAAGAGTCATACCGAGAATCTGGAGAGACCACATATGAAAGCAATTACCACAGCCCTCGGCACCGGGGAAGGCCTCAGTAAGTGGTAATTTCTGCTATAACTAAAATAAAACTTAGTATGATGCGATAAATGGTTCTTAACGCTTTTCTGAATAGAGCAGGTCTTAAGCCACCTTCCCAGAGAAGGTACAAAGGTCAAAGCCAGCCCGGAACGACAGAGAAAGGGGGTCCAGAGCTCAGCCAGCACCTGAACCTCACCTGCAAGAAGGGATAAGTCAAGTTCATCCAGCAAGCGGCCCAGCCCCTCTCAGCCTTACCAGCCCCAGGGCTCCTTGGAAACGTTGTGAATGAGGGCCCCACGGCAGAAGCTCAGCTCATCGCTTCGCTTGGCTTTGTAGTCATACAGAGCTTTCACGGTTCTCTGAGGCTTTCAGGGAAAACAAGAAGGAGAAGGTCAGGCTGGGAGACAGAAGCAGAGAGGCATCTGCCTTGATTCTCATTAGGAAACAGGATGCTTAAGCCCGAGGTTACAGCGCCATCTGCTGGCAGAGGGTGGGCACTGCATTGCAAAAAAGCCACCAAAATCACCAGGGAGAGGGGATGCAGACTGGCCCAAGGTCAACCAGCTGTTAAAAGTGGCTGAGCTCAGAAATCAATCAGTTAATGTGAGTTATTGCCATAGTTCATGATGTTCTGTAGGAAGCAATGTGGGTTCTAGAAGCTCTGCCATAAGAACTTCCAACCAGAGCTGGCTTTATCTGTGCATCTCCCTTCAAGGGTGGATACATCTTTCCCCCATGAACTTCACGGGTCACTGCCAGGCTCCAAGGCTGCAAGGTACAGCCAGTGGCAAAGGGAGGTGCCATACAATGGCTTGCATGAGGAGCAAGTCTCCAGCCTGACAGAGGGCAGCAGAGGTCCTAATGTCAGGTCCTTCGTTAACTAGAGAAACGAGCCATCCATCGGACGCCCAGGCTGGCAGGCGGCACAACAAAGTGACGAACAGCACATGCCTCCAAGCCTGATGGCCCGGGTGCAAATTCCAGCTCCATACCTTCCTGGCTGTGCAGTGGGCATAGAAACAGCACACCACACATGGGGCTGCTGAGCATTAGTGAGCTACCAAGTGCTTCGGACAATGCTTGCTATGTGGCCATCCATATGCCCGTTAGGACTGATCTAGTCATTCCAGTTCCAAGAATGCATCCGAAGGGAATAATGCAGAAGATGCCCAATGCCTCACATGTGAAGTTCATTTTAACGTTACCCAGAACAGCAAAGACTAGAAATGACCCACATGGCCACTGATGGGGATGCAGCTAACCTAGCAGACACCCAGAATATTCTGCAACATTAAAAAATTCTTTTTTTAAAAGTTAAAATTGCAATCCCTGTGTTTCACCTGAATTACTTGGCTCACCAGTTTTAGTGAGAATGGTCATGAAGAAAATGAGCAATGGAGAAACCCACACAGGACCAAGGCGCAGGTGAACAGAACACAAATGGCAGGTGTGCGGGGGCGGGGTGGGGGGGCCTGCAAAATGCGTCTCCGTGCAGGCAAAGGCCCAGGAACGCAGAGAGCGACTGAGTTCGCACGGTGAGACCAGGGCTAATTATCGGTCTTTTTTCAAAGTGGTGTTTTTTATTGTTAAACCATTTTCAATCACCGTAATTGCAATGATTTTATTTTTGAGGCGCTCCCCCTAGTCTGGCAGCTTGTGATCACGTTCAGCTACCATCGTGTTTCACTTGTCTCACTTAGTACAGGAAGATTTTCTCTACAACTTCGGTTGGTTGCCAGGATTTAAAAATGGGGGAGAATTCACGTAAAATATCCAGATCACTGGCTTGCAAAACCAGGAGACCTGGCCTGCTCTCTGGAAAGGTAGCAACTGAGTGCGAACAGGGCATAGCTGTCCTCAAGATGGGGTGTGAGTTCCTCAGTTTACCACAGTGTCCACCACCTGACATCCAGCTGATAGGTGGCCATGTCATCCTCACTACCGACGCCTTCTTCACTTCTAATCAAAGTTCCCTAATAATTTCACACACACTCTCCCCTTGCCCACATCCTTCCAAGCCTTCATTTCTTGCTGGAAGGGATTTGCATTGGCTGAGGATTATAAATCTAAAAGAAGAGAAGAAATTCATCTCTGGATTTCCACAGAGCCCGTCAGCAGGGCCCCTTCCTTAGCAAGAATTATACATGAACTGTGTGCCAGGTGCACCCCACCCCCAACCCAACAGAAAATTCGCCATTGTTCTTCCTCTGCGGTCCAAGCACCGTGTGAGCTGGAACCAGAGCAAGGAGGAGCTGGGGGCGAAAATTTAACACCCACGCCCACCTGCGTGAAATCACACCACCAGCCAGGGTGGGAACAGGAGATAAGGTGCACACTGCAAATGGGTCAGTGAACCAAACGGAATTTATAAACACCACGGGCTCAGTCAGTGAGCCAGAAACATCTGAAAGACTTTAAATCCAAAGCCGTTTGGCCCAAAGGTGGTTCATCAAACCTCAGAATTTTAGCACGACACCGTCGCTTTTAGGTGGAATTCTATTAAGCTCTTCCCTGAAACCCGATGTCTCATTGTCAGTCATCATTTTTTCTCAAAAAAATAAAACCAATTGGGAGGGGGCAAGTTTGCCCAAAAGTTCCCTTGCCCTGTTAGGCTGGGGGGCGTGGGGTGGACTCTGCCTCATTCTAGGGCCCGGGTCGTGGTGTGAACAAGAGGGCTAGCACCGTACCATGGAAGGGTTGATTTCACTGGGATCCACATACATTCTGCTGACGTCGTACAAAGAGTTTATGTCTCTTTCCTGAAAAAGAACAAAGCGAAAAAAATGGAAGCATCTGAGTTCCTGGGGCAGCCTGACAGAGAACAAGGGTTCTCGGCCACCCCCGGGCCGAAGAGGTGAAACCTCCCAGTTTCGTCGTGCCTCCTGGTAGAGACGGTAAAAAGCCGTTAAAAAGCTCCCCCCAAATCGGAAACTGCACCGCCAAAGGAGAGAGGCCCCTGTGCCGGCCTACGCTGTGCCAGGCACTGCAGTCCTTTGTGAAAACCGAAGCCCGGGGAGCAGTGCGTGCGGGAGCTCCCCGCTCGCGCCGTATGCCTCTCCCTGACCCACGTTCCATGTCCGCGGCGGAACACGGGCCACCCCCTCCAAGGATCTGCACCACGGAAACTGGCAAATGCCATAAACCTGGACACGTTACACATCTACCGGCTCACACTGAAGACCCACCCTGCCCTATCTGCTCTGTCCCTGTCTCTCCGAGTCCCCTCCGGGCTTGTGCCACAGCCGCTCCCTGACCTAGAACCGGCTTCCCCCACAGCTGCCCAGCCCCCACTGGTCCCTGCTGTCAGGCCTGGGCTCTCGTGCTCACCCTCCTCTGACCTTCTCCGACAGCTCCTAAGCTGTAGTACTAAGCAGCACCCACCCTTGTTCTGTTGGCTTCTCTGTCATCCTCACTGCCCGGGACAGCTTCTTTATGTGACTGCAAGCTGTCTAGCTCCCCCGTCCAGAACTAAAATGTCCCAAGGCAGGCTTTGGTCCACCACACTGCCAGGAGCCACAATCATTCCTGGCCCATGGCTGGTGTATCCTGAATCTCTTTTCAATACATCGATGAACCGGGACGCCTGGGTGGCTCAGTCGGTTAAGCGTCTGCCTTCAGCTCAGGTCATGATCCCAGGGTCCTGGGATCAAGTCCTGCATCGGGCTCCCTGCTCAGCGGGGAGTCTGCTTCTCCCTCTGCCTGCCGCTCCCCCTGCTTGTGTTCTCTTGCTCTCTCAAATAAATAAATGAAATCTTAAAAAAAAAAAAAAAAATCAATGAACCCATGTGACAGGGGCAGAGATAAGGTCTGTTCTCTGCTCAGAACCGTCCAGTGGCTCAGAATAAAAGCCAGCGTCTCCCAGGGGCCTGCCCTGCACAAAGCAGTCCTTACTTACATCCACCTCAACTCTGGCTCACTCAGCGCCGGCCACACCAGCTGCTTCTCTGAGCCTCCAGGCGTGCCCTCACCTCAGGACCTTTGTACTTGCTGTTCTTCCTGTCCGTAGCTGCACGGCACATTCTTCCATGAACTCTAGCGTCTGCTCAAATACCTCCTTCTCAGTGAGATCTTTCCAGAGCACGCTCGAGAACTGTAGCCCCTTCCCCATCACTGCATCCACGTCTCCACCTGCCCAGTTTTTTCTCTATAGTACGTGTCACCCTCTGACACACCATCTGTTTTTTTTAATTTATCTCCTTTATTATCTGTCTCCCCTACACTAGACTGCAAGCAGCATGAGGGTGGGCTCTTTGTCCCCAGGACTCAAAGCAGTACTGGACACATGGTGAGTGCTCAATAAAGGTTTGCTCGAAGAACGGACAGATGAATGATACTCCCCCAATCGCGAGCGAGTCAACCACCTACCATATTGTAGCGCTCCAGGAGCTCAGGCGTCACGGGGTAGCGCAGTCGCATCTTCCGGTAGAGCGCGTGTTTCTCATAGTAGCTGACGAGCTCCACGAGGCTCTCGAAGTAGGCGGAGGTCCCCAGCACAAAGTGCCGGCCATCCCGGTGGATGCGGCAATGCTTTACCTTGCCCCTGGCCCTGGAGGGGGGCAGATCACACAGAGTTGGCAACCGAAATCCCAGAAACCAGACAGTTGTTCTACAAGTCCCGCTAATTAGAAACCACCTAGCTCTCCATCGTGAGGGGACCAGATAAATGAACAAGGGACGGCCCTCCTGGGGAATACAGTGATGCGGGTTTTTTCAACACAGATACAGAAAAAGCTGTATCTTGCAAGAAGCACGGAGTGACTCGGGCGCCTGGGTGGCTCAGTCGGTTAAGCGACTGCCTTCGGCTCAGGTCATGATCCTGGAGTCCCGGGATCGAGTCCCACATCAGGCTCCCTGCTCAGCGGGGGGTCTGCTTCTCCCTCTTACCCTCCCCCTGCTTGTGTTCCCTCTCTCGCTGTCTCTCTCTCTGTCAAATAAATAAATAAAATCTTAAAAAAACAAAACAAAAGTAAAAAAAAAGAAGTACGGAGTGACTCAACAGCTGGCTTCTCTTGTCTGCCCACTCCGCCCGGCCCCAGTTACAGGACTTGACTTTGGGAAGGTCCTGGTGTCCAGATCAGGGTCAGCAAACAATGGCCCAAAGGCCAAATGTGGCCCCCGCTCTCGCTTTTGTAAATAAAGTTTTATTGAAACACAGCCACGTTCATCCACTTCCGTGTTGCCCGGGGCTGCTTTCACCCTACAGCGGCAGACGCTGAGTAGCTACAACAGAGGCCACAGGGCTCGCCAGGCCTGTGATATTTACCCTCTGGTCCTTTACAGGAAATGTTTGCTCATCTCTACTCCAGAACTCTGGGATTTGATGCCCAAATCCTTAAATCTTATCTTCAGTGGCCCGACTACTACAACCATGAATTTTTTTTTTTTTTTCCAAAAAGCAAACCAATCTTTTATTGCCTCACCCTGCTGACACAAGAGGTGGGAAAACCCCCCCAAAAAAACCCCACAATCTTCAGTCTTACTAGCTTTTATCAGCAAGAACAGAAACATTTGGGAAATTAAGCTTTGACCCTACCTTTACAGCCAAAAAGCATCTTCTTAAACTGTCTCAAGGCATAATTACAGTGAACTACTCATCTTTTAAAAATTTTACACGTTAGAGGGGTGCCTGGGTGGATCAGTCGGTTAAGGTCGTGAGATGCAGCCCTGTGTTGGGGTCCTGTGCTGGGCGTGGAGCCTGCTTGGGATTTTCTCTCTCCCTCCTCTGCCCACCCCGCCACCCCCCGCCAAGCTTGTGCTCTGTCTCTCAAATAAATAAATACACAAATTTTGCACCATAAAGACACTTTTTGTTTTAAAAAACACATACTGTTAAGCCATTTCTTCAGTAAGTCCTGTAAAAGTGCTAAAAGATTTCTGCTTCAGTGGCTTATTTGCAGTGATATTTCATTAGTATTTCTTTAAAAAAAAAACAAAAACAAAAAACACTGCTGAGCAGACAAGTTGCAAGATAAAATATAGTATGATCTCATTTGTATTTTTTAAAATTAAACGTTTAAAAAAGGGGAATCCCCACACACAAAATGGCACTGTATTTTCTATAGGTACATATACATGGAGGTCATTTTGGGTTTTTTGGTTTTTTGTTTGTTTGTTTTGGAGTCCACATGGAGACACCAGTTAGAAAAACTGTGCTTTCCACCAGAACAAGGACCCAGATGGGAAGGACCACAGGGGGCTTAGCTTTACTGCGATGTCTTAATTTTTTGTAAGAATATATTCACGTAATTAAGAAATTTTAAACTTTTTACAAAAGCTCCCTAGGGCAGGGAGGCTCTAGGGCATGGAGGTTAGTTAAGAGTGGGGGTCAGGTTCCGGTTCCTTCTGGTAGCCTGACTGCACCTCTGTCTCCTTGTCCACAGTGCCGGGGATGGACCGTTCCTGTGTCAAGGCAAGTGTTAACACTGCCATCTGACAGCCCAGGCTAAGCCCTCTGCAATGTGTCCGGCACCCCGAGGGTAACCCATACATGAATGGCTAGGAAAACAGAACCAAGGTCAAGCCAAAACGAGCTTCCCTGGCGAGGGAAGAATCAAGAAGGGAGGCAGAACAGGGCTGAGCATGAATCGCACCTTCCAGCCCCCTGGCTGCTACACGCCAGTGGACGCTGTGACCTGAGGTCCTACTCAGCTCTGCCAAGAAGCCCCGGCTCCCATGTCCCACTGAGGTCCACTTCCCACTGATCACACCTAGACAGCAGCTTCATCTCTTTGCATAGACTTGAAAGCAGACACCTGTCCTCTCCTGTAGGGATCTATCCCGTTCAGTCTGTGTTCTCAGAGCCTAGAACACCACCTGGCACAGGAGAGGTAATACTGGGGAGGGGGGGCGAGGGAGGGAGGGAAAGTTCCTGCAGACCTGTGTTCTCCCTCTGCCTGGAGCACATCCCCACCTGGTCCCCCTAGGACCCCTGCTCACCCTCTGTCACCTGCCCGACCTCTCTCTGTGGCACTTACTGCACAACATTACAGCGATGCGTTTATGTGTCTGACTCTCCTGCCCCAGGCAACACTTCTCAGTGAGGGAGAGTGACACCCACCCCACACCCTGACCATAGTGGGTTAGAAAAAGTCTGTGTGTCCAGGCCGGGGGGGTGGGGGGGTCATCTTTGACTATTACAGTGGCCGCGCCCCCAACAGGCATGCAGTGGGTGGAGACCAGGGACGTTCACCATCCCAACACAATGGAAACAGGCTTCCCCTCCTCTCCTCCTAGAGACTCCAGGACCTCGTCACTGGCTCGTTCAGCCGGCAGGTCCTGACCACCTGCCGTTGGCAAGGCAACGCTAAGCAGGAGGGAACTGCTCCAGAGAATACGCGAGTAACGGGACATTTCTCATTCTCGTTCTCAGCCAACTGTTGGCCTCATGAGCACAAAGACTGGGCGGTTTGTATCACTTCGGTGTTTTTGGAGCCCAGCACAGAGCCTGGCACATAGTAGGTGCTCAATGAACATTTACTGATCCCTAAAAATATATAAACTCCAGCTTTTAGGGTACCACCAATCTCACGGGAAGGGCAGATGTGCAGACAGAATGGTGGACGTATAAAATCAAGCCTCCATCTGGGGATCCCATCTTCCTCCACATGGTTCCAGTGAAGTGATTCCAACCCATGGCCAGCTTGAAGGTCCCCAGTCAGAACCATGACGCCCAGCTCAGGCCAGGCCAGGGGGAACGGATGTATCACAGGACTCGTCTTTTCTACTAGACACTGGTTCTCAAGGTGAAGCCAATGCGGAGTAGCTCCAGGACACACAGAACCAGTCTCCCGAGGACTGCCAGCTGAGACGTGGATCCAGGCCTGCTGGAAGCCAGCTTCGCCTCTTGAGCGTCTCAGCAAGTAACCAATAAATGCCACCTTTTTTGGCTGCTTGGCCACTGAGTTTGGTTTCTGTCACTCGCACCCCAAAGCACCCTGAATGACAGGACTGCAACACAACTCAATCCCCAACACCCAACATGGTGGCTGGTACAATAGATATTCACTAAACATGCCCAGTCCCATCCGGGTGGCGGAGGCGCCACCGGGAGCTTCGCGGCAAAGGGCAAGGTGCCGAAGCCAAGGAGCCCAGAGCCTCCCTGTGGGCAGCACAAAGCACAGAGGAGCCCTGCGGCCTGGAGCCGACACACAGCAGATGCTCGGTAAATGGCAACGATAATCACCATCACCACCACCACCCACTCACCCAAGAAGGCAGGAATGATGGGGGAAGAAGGGGGCGGCCCGGTAGGGTCGCCAAGGGGATGGGCCAGGGCAACAGCAACGGAAGGAACAGGAGCAGCCTGGGTGTACCAGGGCCCCTATAATGCAGCCGGTCACCATCATCACCACATGGGAATGTGGGTCCGGAGCTTCCACCTCTTCCCACTTCTCCTAAGAAGAAATCTAAATTTTCAAGTGAAATTCCCCAGTATTTAACATAACCATGCAGGCTGAGGCTCAGTTTAGCCCGTAAGCCTCTTCAGACCTCACCAAGAGAGCAGGCTTTGAACATGGATAAGTCCAAGTCTGCAATTCTGCCTCAGCCCAGGACTAGGCTGTGTGGCTCTAGACAGGTCGCTTAACCTCTCTGGGCCTCCATTACTTGTCGTACCTCATCTACCCCCCCTCATGGGCTGCAACGAAGGACTCAGGCAGATGAAGCCCCGGCATCAGCCCAGGGTCTGGAACGTTAGTTAGGAACTCAATACACTGGGGCAGGGGAGATGGAGGGACAGTGTAATGAACTGGGTCTGAAACCCCCCCCCAACACTGTCACTGGTGGAAACCAGAGGAATCAGGGGTCTTGGGGTGGAATTAAAGTAGAGAACCACAGTCCTAGAGATGGTTGGTCCATACGGCCTTCCCACTGCCAAGGCCGGGTGGCAAGGGCAGAGGGGAGGAAAGCTGGTCTGTCACATCACTGCTCTGGGCTACTGGGGCTGCCTGGGTGCAAATCCCAGCTCCACCACTTACTGGCTGCACGTGTCAGCAAGTTACTTAACCTCTCTGTGCCTCGGTTTCCTCCTCTGAACAGTAAGGATCATGGTCGTAAAGTTGCTGGAAGACAGAATGAGTCCACAGCCAGGTGCTACTCTCAAGGACACAGACCCGGGCCCCACACCCCGACAGCTCCCATTAGCGGCTCTTGCTCTCCACACCTGTCCTTCCCAGGCCTCCTCTGGCGAGCGAGAGCCGGTCCCCACCCGCCCGCTCACCTGAAGGTGATGGCGTAGGAGTCGGTGCCCTCCCGCCTCCGGATGAGGAAGGCGCCGTCCCGGGGAACCCTCATTAGCATGTCCTCTGCTTCCCCGCGGCTCAGCCCGTCATAGTACCACCTGCAGCACGGGGAAACGGCCACGTGAGAGAGCCACCCACGGAGGGGGCGGCACTGGGCTCTGAGGACACCTGGAATATGACCCCAGAAACCACCATGGAACTTGCACCGTGGGCTTCCCCACCCAAAAACGCCGCTGAAGACAGCAATTTTTTTTAGGAGACCACCAAGATGTAGCTCGGGTAAAACATTCCTACAGTAGGTCTGCTTGGAGCACGAGAGAATAAATTTAACTGAACTGTATCCTCCCACCCCATCAGCCTGACTCAGGGCCAGCATCCATCACTGCAGAGAACAGAAAATCGGAGGCAAGAGAACACAGGGAACAGAGTTTTAGGAAGGTCTTTTGGTTTGGCTGGTCTTTGGTTACTTTCAAAGATATGAAATAGCAAATTTTAGAAGGCAATCCATACGAATATAGACAAAAGTAAGAAAGCTGCTATAAGTTACAAGGCCTCTCAGTAATGTACATTTTAGCAGCCTTCTGCTTAAAAAGAGCTCCCCCCGCCCCACCACTTATTTCCAGAATTGGTTAACCCTTTGCAAGGCATAACTAATATTCATTTCACTGGATAAAAAATGAAGGGTAAATGTGTACAATTACTTTCCTTCTTGTTCACTTTCAGAGTGAACAGGAATGAGCTTTGACAAGCAGAATGATATCACCCGGCCAAAAATTCACCGCCAAAAATCACAACCCGAGAGCTCAGGACTGTGAAGGTAAAGGAGAAGAAGGGCAGGGAGAGGCCAAGGGAAAGAGAAAATAGGGGGAGTAGGTGACTGGAAACTGGGGCCATCCTGGGGAATTTAAGAGATCCCGGGGGACCTGGGTGAGGGGCCTCGTGGGAAGCTGGGCCCCAGCACACCCACAAGACTGGCTTTTCTGACTGGGAAACCCCATCCGCCTGGGCGTCTGCACCCGCTAAACCTGGCGCTTGAGGTCTGCTGCCCCGGGAGCACGGGCGCACGTACGGCTTTGACTCGTGGGGGTTGGGGTTGGGCACAGGGTCGGTGAGCCGAAGCTCGAACTCCGTGCAGCGCAGGTGCGTCTCCCGGTAGTGCTGGATGAGGGCATACATGCTGGGGAACATGATGTTGTCAGTCAGGAAGTACTTCGTGGTCCCACCGTCCATGGTGGAACGGATCCGGCAGTGCTGGACCCGGCCAGACCGCCTGTAGGGAGACAGACAACATTAGCACCGAGGCCGGGCCCACCGGCCCTGCCTACACCCAGGGTGTCAGAGAACGTGGCGAGGGAGGGAAGGGGGGGTGGCCAGGACTGCGGCCAGGGGCATTGATGGGGAGGCACCGTGTGCGGCCACACAGGCCTCCCTCTGCTCTTAGAACAGGCTTGGGCTTTAGCGCCTGGATTCCAGAACATTCTACCTACTTCGTCCACCTACTTTTACCTACTTAACTCCTAACTCTGGAGCCAGATGGCCTAGGTGTAAATCCTGACTCAGCCAGTTATGTGCTAAGTGACCTTGAACAAGTGACTTGTCCTCTCTGAGCCTCCACATCATCATCCTTGTGGTCTGTCCTCGCTAAGCTGTCCTGAGGACTGAACAAGGTCACACACAAAATGTGCCTAGAATGCTGCCTGGCACATGGGAAGCATCTTGTAGGTGTGAGCGGTCACTATTCTAGGTATGTTGTTATAATGTGTCTCCATGGAAACACCACTTCTTGCAGGAAGTCTTCCCTGACCACTCCGGCCCCCAACATTACATCAAGTCCTGCTCTTACGGACTTCTGTAACATTTAGCATTTTTTGCATTGCACGTATCACAACTATAATTATAGAGAATCGATTCCTTTTTCATTGTCTAATTCCCTGACCGGACTCTAATCCCCATCAGGACAGGGATCCTGTCTGTTTTATCGTTGTGCCCAGCACAGAGCAATCACTCAATGAATACCCTTTAGTGAATGAAGGTACTAATGAGTGAGTGAGTGAGAAAGCTCACAACAGCTCCATAAAGCAACCTTTAGAATCTCTATTTTAGGGACAAGGAAACAGAGATTGCAGGAGGTTGAGTGACTTACCCAAGGGCACCCCACCTGCTCTAGAGCCAGGACTGGAGGGTTGGGGGTGTGTGAGGCCACACTGTCCTTAGTGCAGGGTCAGATCCTGTCTTTACTTAAAATGTTGATGATACTGTGTTCATCACGGATTTTTCATTACTTCTGATTTTTAAAAAATACTGCATTGAAATACCACTAATCTTGATTGCTAAGTGTCCTGGGCCTCACCTGCCTCGGCCCACCCCTGCCCCGCACAGATTCCTAAATGAAGCTTGGGGTTCTGGTCTAGGCCTGAGCTCGCACAACTCACCGCATGCTCTCCCCCACTCCACCCCCGCCGCCCCGGCCAGCTGCGAGGGGAAGGCGGCATGCCCCTACCAGAAGGACAGGGTGTAGTCGTTGGGGAAGGTCTTGCTCTCCCGCACCAGGAAGGTCCCATCCTTGCCCCCCGTCTCCGCACAATATTCCTGCAGCAGCTTCTCGGCACTCGTCCTCTTCTCTACCTTCTTGTGGAACCACTCCTCCCCAAAATGCAGCTCCGTGGGGGGTGTATCCTGGGCCACAAAGAGAGGAGCAGTTTCTGAAAACCTGGCTCGGGACTGGAGAGCAGACAGGCCGGCTTCAGCTTGCCCTCACCCCAAGAGGTCTGGGAAGACGGCTTCCACTGCCCTCCTTTGCCTGCCACCATGGGTGGTGGCCTCCTGGAGTCCTAAGACATGGGTTAAGGGGTCCCTGGTACGGGTTTCAACCCTACCGCACAAGAAGTCTGAGAGCGGTAATGCCCAGGGGGCTGCACTCAAGAAACAGCACCAAGGGTGGCCAGGAGCTGGAGGGGAGAGGGCAGGAAAGCTGGGAATGAGGCTGGAGGTGGGGCTGGACAGAGCATCCAAAGGTCCTCCCCTCCCACTCGGAGCACAGGCCCATCAGGCCCTTCAGGGAGCAGGAAAGAACTGCTTGAATCTCATTGGTTGCCCAGCCAGCCAATCAGAAAAGAGCCAGGCAGACCTGGGTACCAAAGAGGCAGCTCCTTGGGCTGAGGATGTTGGGGCCTGGGGGCCATGGGAGCGAGGACAGGTTGGGAGGCTGTGTCCCCTACCTGGGGCAGCTCCTCTTCTGCAGTCTGTTCAATATCGTCACTGAACGACAGCTTGGCGTTAGCGATGGCACAGTAGTGCCGAGTCCATTTCTAGAAAGGGGAACCAGCATTAGCTCTGCCCTCAGCCTCTGCCCCATCAAGTCTGGGGCCCCGCCCAGCATGACGCCAGGATTTACGAGGGATGCACCTTTCCCGCTTTTCTTGGACATTTACGGTGGTTCCATGGAATTCCGTCCCCTTCAAGACGTTTCTTTTAAAACATCTATTTTTGGGTTCTTTGGGCATTTTCAGGACTTTTTAAATTCACTGTGTCTAAGGGTTGATACAACTTAGTATCAAATTTCCAGTTCATGTTTATTTAATGTGAAGCCTTTTATGAATGACGGGATTGTCTTTTGGGTCTCGTGACCGTCTTTTTCTATTACCTCCACTTTTTATGACTTTCAAGATTCCTCTTCAATGTCTGTGACTTAATCCTTTATTTAAGCATTAACAATTTTTAGTATTTCTAGGATGTAAGGACAGACATATCAAAATATATGCAAATGGATTTGTATGTTAGGTTAAGGGACGTGAGAAGTGGCATTAGCATTCAAAATGCATCCCTCTCACCAAAATAAGGGTTCTGCGGGAACTGTGCCAGATTGAAGAGCACTAAGGAGTTAGGACAACCAAATACACTGTCATATCCTGGATTGAACCCTGGACCAAAAAAAGGACATCAGGACACCAATTGGTAAAACTGAAATAAGGTCCATGAATTAATTAGTGGTATTGCACCAATGTTCATTTCCTGCTTCCAATAATTACACTCTGGTTATGGAGGACGTTAGTATTGGGGGAAGCTGACTGAAGGGTATGTAAAAATTCTTTGTGTGTGTGCATGTAAATGCATCGTATGTTATGTGGAATATAAAGTAATTTCAAAGTAAAATAATAATGCAAAAAAAAAAGGTCAAAATGGGAGTAAGATAGGAATATTCTCAGAGTTCTCTAGTAGGCCTCAGATGCACTCAAGGCTCTGAGAAGGGGTACAAGGAGACCCACCTGGTCGATGGAATCCCACATGTACAGTTCACCCTGTTGCTTGTGCTCATCTTTCTTGTCCTCCATGTCGACATCCACGTCGCCTCGGGGGCCCAGCTTCTTATGCTGAGGGGAAAAAATACACATAGCCTATCTCCTTCAAGACCCAAGTTTAGGATCTTTGAGCCAGCAAGCATTCATCCACATCAGCCAGCCAGCCAGCATCTATCTGCCGCATCTACCTCAGGGCCTTTGCACTGCCCGTTCTCTCTGCCTGGTTTCTCTCTCACTACATTCAGCTCTCTGCTCAGTGTCACCTCCTCAGATGAGCTTTCCCCGACTACTTGATCTAAAAATAGCTTCCACTCCCCTTTCCACCCCTGTCACTCTCTGGCCCCTGGGAGTTATTTTCCATATTCTTGGCCCTTTGTGTATCTATGTGTCTATCTGTATTCTGTCTTCCCTGCCAAAAAATATAAGCCCCATCAGGGCAGGACTTTGTGCTGTCCCCTGTTGAATCTCCTGTGGCAGTTCAGCAAATAGGAAGTGCTCAATAAACATTCAATGTATCAGCAATACCACCTGCATGCCCCACATTCTCTGGCACACACAGCGAAAGGCAGGAACAGCCATCCGGGAGCCCAGACTGCAGGGCAGTGGACTGCACACTGGGGATGCAGAATTAAGCTGCTTTATCAGCTGTGTGACCCTGGGCAGGAGGCTGCACTTCTCTGGGCCTCACAGTTCTCATCAGTGAGACTAAGACAGCGACTACAACAACCTACATCCAGGTGAGTACTGACGCCCACCCAGGCCAGTATTTGTAAACCCTTGATTCTGGTGGCCCGGAGGAGGGAGCTCAGGATTGGGAGTCTGTCCGGGGCTCGAGTGTGGGGCCTTACTCGCTGTGACAACTAGTCTCAGTCATTTCCTCTGTGAAATGGGGTTAACGACAGCCCCGGCTGCGTCCTGTCAGCCCATGGGCGTGAAAGACACCTGTCAACACTGAGGCATGATGTATTTCATTTTGAACGGCCTTGAATTACTTCTTGGGCAGGAACTAACCACAACCTCAGCTAAGCCACCTTCTAGACCTCAAGGTCCCCAACTGGAAAGTGGGCCTGGGGCCTGGGATTTGCCACCTCTCAGGGCTGTAGGAGACTGGATAGTATTTAGTGTCATGCCTAGCCAGGCTCACAAATGCTATTCCTGCCCTCTTTCCTGAAACAGGAGTGAGCCAAGAAGTACCACCGGGAGGCAATGGGTGCTCTGACCAGGGCTGTCACTACGTCCCACCCTAAAACAAGAGCCAGAAAATCTCTGGGGACACATAGAGAACAGTCCCAAGAAAGCAAAGCTACAGAGAAATGCAGACTCACTGACCTAATGCCTGAGAAGCTGTAGACCCTCCCGAGCCGAGCTCCTTTGGCTTCTAGTCCTGCCTTCCCCAGGCTGGAAGTTTCCCTTGGTGTCTCAGGGAGAAGTGCCCCAGGGTCTTAGTCAAATCCTGCAGATAGGCTGGTGCTTTTACCCTGAGGGCACCAACAGCCCATCCTCTGGATGAACCTCTGAGAAAGCCCCCTCACGCCATTTGGCACATCTCTGTTGACAGGTCTGTCTCCCCACTAGACCATGACCTCCTGGCACACAGGGATTATACCCAGTGCCTCTTGATGGCTCAGTGACAATCTAGGGAATGTGCCCTGTGTTCACACCACCACACGTTTATGGATGTTATTCCCCCAACCTGAGAGCACTGCCCCCTCTCTGCCTAATAAACACCTGTCCACTCTTCCATATGAACCTGCTACTTGTCAACAAAATCCATCCCACTCCTTCTACCAATGGCCACCAACTGGAGACTTCATGTTCAGCCCCCTTTGTGGGAGATGTGGTCATGTGACAGTTCTCACACACAGGACAGGCTGGGAAATACCAAACTGACATCCTGCTTATTTGCAGAAATTGCGGAACTTGGACACACTCACGTTGCCCTTTCTATGGGCTGGAGCTCAGATGAGCCTACAACCCAACATCAACCCCCCCCCAGGGCAGAGCGTCCACCCAGTTTCTGTACCAGGGACTTCCTTCGAAGGTGGTGAAGACGATGGACCCCTTTCTCAGAACAACATTGACAACGCATAGAATAAGAAAAACTACACTAAAATATAGTTATTAACATATCAAATATTTATAATATAAATAGATGTGCTTCCTTATTAACTTTTTATATAAGATCTAGAGTCAAATCTATTAACCACCATAATTTCAAAGTAGTGATGAGGACAAGATCATTTTGAGATATTTGTAGTAACTGTAAACATGATATGAAAATATCCACGATTTCCGCTGGTGACAAAGCCCCAAGTGGCTTGTTGCCAATATTCACAATGGAAGGAAACGTTAAGTTTTACTTACAGGTTAATAAAAGTAAAGAGGCAACATTTTCCCCCAAAGTTCACACACTACCATACCCCAGATTCTAACTGTGGATTCTCTGGAGGGGTCTACAGAACCTCAGCTGAAAATCCTTTCCCTAGGAGACTGCAGAACAAGGTAAGAGGATGCTGGTTCCCTTGATAGCCTTGTGGACCAGAGCTCAAACTTTCTAGAACACTCTCCCTCATCCAAAGAAGAAATGACCTCTCCTATGCTTTAAGCCACTATATATCTGGTCTCTCTGTCTTAGTAATACAGATCCCCTCTCCCCGGTGTCCCTGGCGCTCTCGGGCACGGCTGATCCTTCATCCCTCCCCACAGCACTTGGCAAGCCATCCCCTTCGTCCATTAGCACACGCAGCCTTTTGGGGCAACTGTCCACCTCCAGTCCATGTCCATCTCACACACTGGACTGGGACACAGAGGCACCTAGAGGTGAAACGACCTTGCCCAGCGTCGCTGAGGGAGTTAGCAAGGAGAGCTGGTGTGAGTCCAGGCAGTGGGACCAGGAGCCTGGGCTCTGAGCCACCTGGTCTTCTGAGTGACAGGCCACCCAAGGCCACCTACCTTGATGATGATCTTCCCTCGCAGCTGGCTGGGCGAGGGCAGCTGGTCCGCGCTGGCCTCCGTGGGCTTCATCAGCAGCTGGTCGCCAAACACCTCCTTGAACACCCTGGCCATGTGCCGCTGCTGCTCCACACAACAGTGCTCCTCGATGGACAGGATCACTGGGAAGCTGTGTGCGGGCGGAGCCAGCTCAGCTCAGCAGGGGGGCGGCGGCAGGGCCGGGAACCAGAGGTCACTGGTTTCCCAGAGCCAGCCTCCTCCCCACGCCAGAACCAGGGAGGCACTTGCACTTTGGGCCTGTAGGGGGCGCCAACGCTCAGCTGAAGACTTGTTGGGCGCCACCAGAGGATGGAGA